TCTGTCAACCACAAGAGCGAATCATTGACGACTTTACCGTGATCATTACTCTCGGTGTTTTCCTGGACCCGCGACGTTGAGCCACCGAGGTGCTTTGGTTGAATGATCTTGGGGGTGATTGGCGGGGCATCATCGTCGTCCACTGTCGTTGCCGTTGCGGGTTGGCATTGGCGGCACTAATTGCGCGGGGCGACAGCGAGGCTTTGGCAGCCACCCCGGCAAGAAAGCACCAACCAAGATTGGGGCCCATCAAGCCTCGAACCTTCTGCTTACGGACCCCATCGGTCCTTCTTCAATCTCCTCCCAGGACGTTGAAGCTGGGGATTCTTTCCTCCCCTTCCCATCTTCGCCAAATTCGGACCAAAAGCCAGACGGCCACCATCGAAAACGCGACAGATCAGACACGTCCACGGGGCCCTGTCGAGGGTCGGTCGTGCTGATAGCTGCACTTTGGCCCGGGATCGCGACTCCAACACCAACTCCAACACCAGGCCTGTCCGTTCCACGAGCAGCCACAACCACGAGAAAGGCCAATTGGCCGTCCACCGGACACAATGATGTGCTTCAGCGTGAGTTGTGCCCCCAAGCCCTTCCCCCGACCTGCTAACAAGCGTATCTTGATGTCGTGTCGGCTTTCACATGCTAACCCATGTTCCACCCGTCCAGTTTCGCGCCGAGAGGCCAAAAGAGAAGCCATCATTCATTCGAAGGATGACCACGTTTAATCGCGGATCGCCCAATCGGCCTCGAATGGCACTTGCCGATGTTGCGTTTATCGGAACCGCTCTCGGCGGCGGCCTCAACCACGTCGTCAATGGAGAGGGAAAGGAGAGGCTGATGAGGAAACACTGCCACGAATCGGTTCGGAAGAACGCAGAGCGGATATACGACGACCTCCGCGGGAAGGACAAGAGGTTATCGCGCGGGAAACTCCTCGACTTTCTGAGGCAGACACAGGGGGTGGCGGAAGTCGAACCATTACAAGCCGATTTTTACTCCTTCCAGGAGTTCCTGTTTATCTGGCTCAACCGAAATGACGCTTGGGGTGCCGTCCGCAGGCTTCGTTCTGACGAAGATGACGAGACAAAACCGATGAGCAACTACTTCATCAGCAGTAGCCACAATACATACTTGGAGGGGAACCAGCTCTCATCGAGGAGCTCGGCCGAAGCCTACACGGCTGTGAGTCTTCCGGCTGTCTCGATGATGGATATGTGCTAACACCAAGTCCAGGTGCTGGAAAGCGGCTGCCGATGTATCGAGATTGACGTTTGGAACGGCTCGGCGGTCCGGACACCATCAAGGTCACCACATCCAAAACCAGGCCATCGGCGCAACCTTTCATCGCCTTCGCTCCCTCGACTGGCCCCGGAGAACCTCTTCAACCGCCACATTCGCGCTGCGAGCACAAACGACACGGAACGACCCCTGATAGAGCCGAGGGATAGCGGGACAACACTGGATCCAAGGGAAGCGCGCAGCAGAGGACATAGCAGGGGTCGATCCAGGGATTCATCGAGGTCGACCGTACCCGGGGAGCCAGTTGTCCATCACCACGGAACCATGACGACCACGGTTGGATTTCGAGAAGTCTGCCGCGCCATTCGTGCGAGCGCTTTCAAAAACAATCCCCTGCCCGTCATAGTCAGCCTCGAGGTCGGTGCGGAGAGTGAGCAGCAAAGGGTCATGGTTCAGATCATGAAGGAGGAATGGGACGGGCTTCTTCTCGACAAACCGCTTGAAGGGTGCGACCCAGCCCAGCGCCAGCCAACTCTCCAAGAGCTCCACCATAAGATCTTGATCAAGGTCAAGCGACAGGCCACCGATGATTGCTTGACCGAAGCCGAGGCTGAGGGTAGCCAGCCTGTCCAGCTCGGGAGCCCTCGAGGCAGCAAGCCACCGATTTGCGAAGAGCTCGCGGCCCTCGGTATCTACACGCACAGTGAGCACTTTGAGGAACACAAGCTGGGGACGCGGTCTCCGAGTCGCATCTTCAGCCTCAGCGAGCCCGCCTTTTCCGACCTTCTCAAAGACAGCGACAAGTCCCGCAGCATTCTCCAGCACAACCGTCACTGCTTCATGCGCATATATCCCAATCCATATACCCGATTCAACAGCAGCAATCCCAACCCCAGCTTCCACTGGCGCCGGGGTGTGCAGATGGTGGCCATGAACTGGCAAAACTCGGACAAGGGCATGATGATCAATGACGCCATGTTTGCCGATACCAGAGGATGGGTGCTCAAGCCGAGGGGCTACCGCAGCGACGACTGCGAGATCGACGTCGATGCCATCCCCCGGAAGACGCTGGATCTGAGAATCAGCGTCATCGCCGGCCAGTTTCTCCCCCTGTCCGAGGCGCGCAGGATGAGCGGTGTCGGCGTTGGCGGTGACAGGAAGTTTCGTCCGCAGGTCAAGGTCGACCTGCATGTTGAGAAGCCCAACAGGTCGGCCGAAAACAACAGCAAGGAGACGGTGCCGGGGGAGACGGAGAATCCCGACTGGGGGCACGACGTCGTCCCGTTTGAGTTCCTCGATGTCAAGAATGTGGTCGAGGAACTCAGCTTTCTCAGGTGAGCACCGCTTCGTTTTCCTCTTCCTCCCCTCCCCCTTGCCCCCACAAAATATCATCCAAGCGGATGCCGGATAGACCCTCGCATCCCGGGACCGCGCAGGTACCCGCAAAGCCACGTTTGGATGCCGAACGATGCGTCAAAAAAAAAGAGAGTTGGACATCGGGCCATTGCTTGATGCCGACGGAAACGGGTCGCTGCGTCGTCTTGATACGCAGGACACACTTGACACTCCCAAAGACACTCTTGCGTTCCGTTTGTGATGACGGGAGGCACATTGCTGATATGCGCAACACAGGCTCCGGGTGGAAGATCGATCCAGCAGCAGGGTCCGTGATGCACCGCTCGTGGCGTGGGCGTGCATCCGGCTCGACCGGCTTCAGCCGGGGTATCGGTGCGTGGATCTGTTTGACGCGACCACGCGGCGAAAGTCGCACGGGCAGCTGTTTGTCAAGGTGGAGAAGACGTTGAGGTGATGGTGTTTCGATGTTGTCGTCCATGTGGTGGGTGGGCAAGATGTTTGTTTCAGACCATTTGGTCCATTTCCATTTCTTGGTTTCTCATTCTAGCGAGCGAGGCAAGGCGTTTTAGTTGGGAGGCATACATTTGTCGTATGATCCTCTTGGGGGCTGGTTCTTCATCTTCTTCTGTTTGGGATGGGAACAGGGCGACAAACATATTCTAGACTGGCAACAATCACTTGGATGGGGGTTCTTGTTTCATCTCCTTTTGGATACGGGCGGACCCGTCAGCAAACTGACGACTATCGAGGAGGACGCGAGGACAGTCTGCATTTACGGAGGAGCAAGGTGGCGGAGAAGATGGGATGGATACCCAGCTCCTAGGTAGCAAGCCTTGACTGGCTGAGCGAGGGGGGACGGACGGAAAGTGGTATGATAATAATCAAAAATCGACTTGTTCATTCGGGGCTGATATGTATGCGGGAAAAAATATGAGATGTCTTTTGGGTTGTTGTTTGCCCATATTTACGGATAGTGGATACGACATCGTCAGTTTGGAAGCAGATGATGGCACGGTGGGAGGTACTGTATGATGAACTGTGACCCAGATGTCTGTCCGTCTTTGGGGAACCTACTGCCATGTCTGCTGCTGATGAACAAGAGGGTATGTGGGAGGAGAGAAACCTCAACATTGAGCAGCATCGCCATGTCGGTTGGCAGGCAGACATCGATAGGTACAAAAGGCAAACGAGCATCTATACCAACCATCGAATTCACTGCCGGCGGCAGGGCCAAGTCTAGACTCCAGAAGACTTCCACCGCGAACGGCAGTTGGGGGGTGTTACACAAATCTCTTCTGCCCCTGGAGACTGGAACATACGACAAGCCACTTGGGGGGCCAATGTTGCAGAAGAGGCGTTTGTCCACGCCGGTCCCGGTGGGCTGGGTGCACTGTGCCACAGTCCCACCTCCAGGGTCTGCATGGATGATGAGGGGAGTGTGTGTTGTGTGTGTCGAACGTTCACGTTTCCGAGAAAGGTCAAGCCACGAGGGGAAAACGCGGGCGGGTGTGATTATGGGCGAACGGAAAGCAAAATAAATACCTACGGTACCTACCCAGGTAGGTGGGTAGCTAGACACGCGAGCACGTCTGTATGCGTGCCTATCAACTGTCAGTCCAGCCCCCTCCCCGCCCCTTGACATCCCCGGTTTCGGCTTGAAGAGTGTTACCGTGCTCGGGATGCCGTTCAGAGGTTCAGAGGTGCGTTTGGGGAGAGATGTCTCTGGCGGCTAGGCTGTCAGTCACGTAGGACCCGAAGGCCAGTGCAGCATCTCCAGCTGCCCGTGTTCCGTACCGACCCGGCCTTGTCCGTGGTTCGCTGTGACCTGTCGGTATTTGGGCTGTTTATCATCAGACGGCCATGGTTAATGGTTATGACGGGATACATACATGAGGAATACATGCAGTGGACGGCCCGTTGAGCCGGCAGGCAAAGGCGCCGACCGGGGATGTGGGCACAAACGGGGGAGGGAAGCGCCGAATATTGCCGATGGCAACGGGTATGTATGCTCGACACGTCGCTTTGCACCGCTTTTTTGGGGATCTGTTGGCGATGAGCTTTTCCATTCGAGCTGTGGGCTGCAGCAACGCTGTGGACCCCGGGCGAGCATCCGGACGCCGGATGGTGGTAGCACGGTCCGTCGACGGATGTTGAGCCGTCAAGATAACGCGGTGGTCAGTACCGCTTCGTCCAATGATGGCTTTGGGCGGAGACGACGCCGGTGATCGGGAATATGCTCTCGATCCGCAAGGAGGGACTAAGCGTCTGGTGGTCTTGATCCATCGGCGGTAGGCGTTTCTGGGCGGAGATAGCTTGCTTGGGGGGGTATCCACAGAGGAGACGAAAAAGGAAAGCTGCAATCCACAAGCAAAAATATGGATGGACAGACGTCTAGAGTATCGAAACTCGGATACGGGGAGTCGAACCCCGGGCTGCTGAGTGGTCTCTGAGAGGATCACAGTGAGAGTCAGCGATGTTACCGCTACACCATACCCGATTACTTGATGTCATGGTGGGTGTGGATCTCTCATGATGAGGGGTCCATCCATGGTGGTTGGCTAGAAAATCGGAATTCGTCCTTGAAAGCACGCCCCTGGACGGCGTTCAGTCGGAACACAGGGCGCATGGCCATGTTGCTAAGTCACACGCTGCCGGCCACGCTTGCGGGAGGCAGCGTGGCTGGAGTCTGAACCGGGCGGGTGGAGGCTATCACCGTCGGGTCCGGTACCGCTGAGGCTTGATGGCGGCAAGAAGGGGTTTCCGACTTCCATTCGATCAAGCGGACACAATCGAACGGTCGCCCGCGGGCTGCGGGATCCTCTGTTGGGCAAGAACAGACGAGTCGAACGATTTCTGAGAAGGTTATGTTATGTCACGGATGACTGACGCCAGCGCGCAGTTCGGAGAGGGGCCGGTCTTGGTATCATCGAATTGGGTTGAGGAAAAAAGGTTGGATGGTGAGTTTCATCGAAACAACCCCTGGACCGGTGAGACCAGGACTCGGAGAAGAGCTAGGGACAGACGGGCTGGCCTTGCAGTAGGGCAGATGCAGAGACGCAGCGACGATCAACCGATTCTTTTTTCCCAGCCGTCTGAGGTCTCCTTCTCGTTGAGAGGTTCAAAAAGAGTGTGGCCGGCCCGGGGGCATGTGGGGGGAAATGGAGCGGGGCGGGGTGGGATGGGTGACGAGATGATGCACAGCTTGTCGTCGAGATTAGCGACCTGGCGATCATCGACCTGGCTCCCGCCGTTCTGATTGGCTCTGTCAGCCCAGAGGTCTGTCACCCCCTGCCCGTTTGTTAGCGCCTTCAGCATTGCCCAGCGCTCAGCATCTGTCCCCATCACAAGTCTACCTCAGTACACAGTATACGACAACGCCATCACAGCCACGACGACATGACAGCCCCGCGGGCCGACTCCCCATCAGCTCACCTCAGACGCAGGGGGGAGGAAGCTCGGAGCACAATCATCAGTGACAGCAGCCGCGGTGTGGACGAGGAGCCCGGGCGTCTGTTTGGATATACCCAAAGCGACACCTGCTCACATGGCCAGGTCGGTGAGCTCGTATTTCAGGGGCTTGGTGCATATTTTCTTTTCGACATGAGACAAACACCAGCAACATGTGAATGTCAGCATTCCAAGAATCCCCCTACCTACCCAGGTCCCAGGTGGCATGGGTAAGGGCGGAAACTGCTGGATTTTCTTTCAAAGGAAGACAACCCCTGGAATCCCGTCTGGAGAGGCACCTCCGGGCTCCCCCCCGGATGTGGGGGTGCAGGATATCGAACTTCTTGATGCGGGAGGAGGATCATTTCACCCTTCCATCCGGAGCAAATCGTACGTTGGCGATGTTTGAGCAAGATTGGAAAATGACAGAATATTCTCCGAAGACGCATGCTTCCTGAGAAGGGACCTCCCGAGGCAGCTAGGGTACACCACCCTTTTCATCTCTGCCCTCGAGGCGTTTGCAGCTGAGGCAATCGTCGCCTTTTCTCAACCACTCTGAATATGACCAGTATCAGCAACCAACAACCAGTAGCCACCGCTTATATGGCTGTATAGGGCCACTGCGTCGACCAGGTTCATGACGCCTTTCACCTACATCAGCTGGATCTACCAAACGAGTACTATATGTATGTACTGAGATGCGTACTGCTGATGGAGATGACGCACCTTCAGGGCAGTGGATTCGGTCGCACAACCCAGAAGCCCTCCGCGGGGTAGGTGCAGTTCCTGCAGGCCGCAGAGGCACTGTACAGTGTACACAGTATTGCGTACCTACAGTGGGTGACCAAAAAAAACGCCCAATTGCCCTTTTTACACCAAAACACACCAAGTTCACGTATAAATATCACAACCTTCCAAAATTCCAAATACAACCAAACTTTGCATACGGCTTAGGAAAGACGTCAAATTTAACATATCTTTTTAACGTATTTTTAAGTTTTAGATTGCAGCTTGTACGTCGCGAAAACCGGCAACTTGACTATCGGAGAAAGAGCTGCGACGAACTACTACGTTTGAAAGTAGATAGCGCCTCGAGATAAGCTCCAAAAAAGAAAAAGAAAAAGAAAAAGTGTACTCCTGGTAATTCTGAATATATAAAGGAGTTTTGAAGTACAATTATTTCCTAAATGTTGCTGGTATTTTAGTTTGAAAAGGGTGTGTCTTTTTCCCCGAATTTTCGAGTTGGGCGTTTTTTTTGACACATGATTGTACTTAGTTCACAATTCCCGTCCCCAATCCCCAATCGCCGACAGCTCGGCGTCTTGACTTTCATTCTCCCACAAACACCGGCTGCCAGCCCCTAGCGTCAAGGCTAAGAACCTGCAGCTAGCAAAGCTGGGACCTTGGATCGCCGAACAACTTCCAAAGTCGACGCCCGCCCGAAGTCGCTTCTCGACAAACACTGGACGACGCGGTTTTCATGATCAATCGAATACCGAGATCCCCTGCCCGCACCCCCCCCCCTCCACTGTCCAGCCTGCCAGGGGGGTTCGATCCTCCACCCCACCAGCCCACCTCTTCACCCCTGCCGGGCTCAAACCGGAGGTGCCAGGCGGGCGACCCAGGTGGCTCTACCAGTACCCAGGCCAAGGAGCGAGCGAACGCGAGAATGACTTCATCCAATCCAAAGTCCTGGACTTCCCCTGGCTGTGATTTGTCTCGACTGGATCTCCGTACCGCCGGCGGGGCCAGCGGACGCTGAAGCAGAAGAATCCCGAGAGATTCCCTTTTGCTCTCGTTGATCGTCCGATTGCATTTCTTGGCGTGCTCGCTCAGCTTTGGGCCCTGGCCTCTCTCCGAGAGTCTCTCCCGTCGCCCTTGGCAGCAACCTTCTCCCCAGCCAAAGAGCCCAGAGTCAAACAAAAGAAGCCACCCTTCACCCCCCCCAGAGGGCTTCCTGGATTACAGCTTCCTCTTCTCCGTTTGGCCCATGTCGACGAACGCCTGTTTTCCCTCGAGTACCGGACCACCGCCAGCCCGGCCGCGGACCTCTCTCGTTGGCGGGGGGCACGTCAATCCGCGTTCCCTCGAAACATCGTCCTACAAACGATCGGGTCGACCTTCCTCCCTCTGAAAAATCCTGACCTTTCCTCTGCCTTCTCTTTGCCCCGCGGGTCTGCCCATGAGCCGACGGTAGCGGCAGCGGCAGCGGCAGCGGCAGCAACCCATGATGGTGCCTTTGCAAGTGCAAGACGTGTCACTTGTCGCATTCCCCTTCCGTCTCCTCCCCCAAAGGTGTGAGCCTGGGATAGTTGACCTTTGATCCTGAGAGGCATCCCTGCTCGCGTGAGGTCGAGCGAACACCACCAAGACATATATAACTCGGCTTCCCATCTCCTCTCTTGTGCTGCCAATCTCCCACCCAATATCATACACATCAACCTCTCCAACACCACACCACACCACACAATCAGACATCCTATTACAACCACATCACACACCAACCACACTTCAGCCACCTCGCTCGACTCCTACTTCGTCCCTTCAAAACAACAACACTTCAACACTATCTCCAGCCTCCAACAACCCTCTACCCAGCCACGACCGACAGAGTCGACAGCAACTACAAAGTGTCCACGATACGCACGCGGTGTCACAAACACTTTCCATAAATCCCACCACCGATTCAGTCAAAATGGTATGGCGACTCCTGTTCCAACTCTAGTACAGCCCTTCCTTTCCCCACAGCCCTCGAGGGAGGCGAGGGTCGTGCAGGTGCTCCCCGCCTCCAACACTGGCGCCGCCTGTCATGCCGTGACAACACCTCGAGAAACCTCGATGCTGACAATGCTTGGCTTGGTAGCTTCCTGGCGTCCGCTGCCCCAAGTGTGCCGAGAAGGGCGAGGAGGTCTGGGTGATTCAGGGGAGGGCTTGTGGCAACTGCGGGACAGCGTGCTACTGAGCGCTGGCACGATCGAGGAAATGGTTTTCTTTTGTTCAACGGAAAGACGTGGGAGTCAGTCATTTGGGTCAACGGCATGATACCTTTTCTCTTCTTTACGCGGCAGCGATACAGTCCTGGGATAGAGATGGGTCGGCGGAAAAAGATTTGAGTGTAATGATAATTGCGCTCTCGGGTTCAACTTGGGATCTGGAAGGGCAACGGCATCAGGAAAAGCTCAGCGGCAGGGAGCCCATTGGAGGTAGACTGGACACGACTCAACCAAAAGAATAGACTGTGTCACATGCTCTACACTCCATATTCTCACTCTTCGCTCTAGACCTTCTGCAAACCTCGCCACTTGCACAGAGTACACGAACAGCTCAGCACCGGCGGATAATTCCGCTCCTGTGAGCCTCGATCATGACGACGACGAGGCACCAGGGGCAGGGAGATGCCGTTTCAAGGGACGATGGCACCTGGCCAGATACGACTCGACAAGGAAGTAAACAGGTCCACCGTGACCGCGGCCGGTCCCCGTCCGTGTATGTCGGTCCGCCAGGTCCAACAATCACGCAACTCAACTCCCCGGGTGGCCTCGCGGAACCTCTCGACCTCGATCAACATGCATGGCGAGACGGCCACCACGTGTTGCTGCCATGTGGCCAAGTCCCCGCCACCACAGTCTCGTAACCGCGTGCCCTCTACCGGGATGGGATCCACGCCTCTTGTCCCCAGATGGCTCGATGCCATGGAGGGATGGAGCTGGGCAACGGGTCCGTCACCCGAGACATACCCGCGCACACATACACACACGGAGCTATCACATCACTTGGATCTGACCCCGGCGGTACACATACCCGGTTGGCGCCGAGAGAAAAAAATACACGCGCACACACACACACACACACGCAACGTGTTGCTCACGTTACGCGCGCGGCCGGGACAGTCGTCGCATCTACTCTTGGAAGCACGATGATGATGTCGGCTACCGGGCTGGGCGGGCGCCGTGCTGCTCCGATGCCGGGCCGGGAATGCGCTCCCGCAGCACACGTGGGAGATTTTCTCTCTCTGTGTGTTTGTGTGTTGAGAGGGGGGCTTTGTGTGGC